AGAAGTGTTTCTTTTTCTCCACAGCCTCATCAACATTTGTGACTAATTGATTTCTTTTTAAAAATTTATTTTAGTACCTGTTTATAGTACATAATGTTTGTACTCCCTCTGGGGAGTCAGTAAACATGCATAACACTTCTTAATTCTTTTTTCATTCCCTTCCCGTCCCTAACCACCCTCCTTTTTTGTGTGTGTGCCAGGGATGGAACTCAGATCCTTGTACTTGCAAGACAGGTGGCAGAATCACTGAGCTATAGCCCCTGCCCCCCTTTAAAGACTGGTTTTATTTTATTTTATTTTTTTGGTACTAGGGATCGAACTCGGGCCCTTGTGAGGCAGGCAGCGGAGCCACTGAGCCAAATCCCTGGCCCCACCCTCCCGTCTTGGTGATGGCCGTTCTTTCTTACCTAAGACGGAGTGTCGGTGTTTTAATTTGCCTTCTCTAGTGACCAGCAATATCGAACATCTTCTGTGTATTTATTGACCATTTGTATTTCCTGTTTGGGGAAGCATCTATTCATTTCAGTTGTCCATTGTTTTCACTGGGCCTTATATTTTTTGGGGGGTTGTTTTTTGAATTATTTATGCATTCCATACATTAATTCTCTATCAGAAGTATAGCTGTGTCTTAGTTACTATCTTGATGCTAGGACAAAATACCCAACACCCACAAGTTAAGGGAGGAAAGGCTTATTTCAGCTCACAGTCTATAGAGGTTTCAGCACCTAGTTGGCTGACTCCAAGGCAGGACAGTATGCTGGAGGAAAAACAGTTTGCACCAGGTCAGGCAAGAAGCACTGTGCCTGTTTCACCCTTTCATTCCATCCAGGCCACCATCTTACTGGTTGGTGCTACACATACCTGGGCTGGGTCTTCCCTTTCAGTAAGTCTATGGCCATACTCAGAACTACACTAAACCAATGAGAGGGCTAATCCAGCATCATACACCCATGATCCAGTCACTCCCCAAAGCCATACCTATGAGCACATGAGGCTCGAGGGGGACATATAGACATAAGCCATCGCAAGCTGGCAAAGAACGTCCCATTCTGTAGGAGGTCTTTTCACTCTGTTGGTTGTTTCTTTTGCTGTGCAGAAGCTTTTCAACTGAACATGATCCCATTTGTTGATTCTTGATGCTATTTCTTGTGCAATTTGGGTTCTGTTGAGAAAGTCTTAGCCTATTTTATCTTCTAGCAAGTTGTTTCTGTTTTAAGATTTAAATCTTTGATCCATCTTGATTTTATTTTAGTACGCAGAAAGATATGGGTCTAGATTCAATCTTCTGCATGTGGGTAGCCAGATTTTCCAGCACTGTTTGCTAAACAGCCTGTCTTTCTTCCAGCTTATCTTTTTGGCCCCTATGCCAAAGATCAGTTAGCAGAATGTGCCTAGAATTGTTTCTGCATCCTCTATTCTGTCCCATTGATCCACATGTCATTTTTTTGGGGGGGGCAGTACCATGCTGTTTTTATCATGGTAGCTTTGTAATACAGCTGAATTCAGGTAGTGTGATGCCTCCTATTTTGCTCTTGTTGCCCAGGATGGCTTGTGCTATTCCAGGTCTCTTCTGGTTCCATATGAGTTTTAGGGTATTTTTCTCTAGATCTGTGAGGAATATTGTTGCTATTCTGACTGGGATTGTACTAGACCTATGTATCAGTTTTGGAAATATGGTCATTTTGACTATATTGGTTCTGTCTCCACAGGACAGGGCCTATCCTTCAGTTTTCTGATTTCCTCTTCCATTACTTTTTTTCAGAGTACTGTAGTTTTCATTGTATTTGTCTTTCATTTCCTTAGTTAATCACAAGGTTCGAACTTTGGATTCAGTTTGCTGATGTGGGAGGGGCTGTCCCAAGGGGCGGAGAAGGACTTAGACTGAGGGTAATTGCCTCCTCCAGGCCACAGCCTTGCTGTCAATTCTGACTCCTGCCCTCGGCTGTCCTAGGATCTTGGCGACACAGCAATGACCCTCTCTTAAAGCCCTGTGTCAGAGTCTCCTGCCAACTCTAGCCTCCCTTCTCCCTCCTTTCGAGGTGGGTCTACATGACTTCACTCCTTCATTCCTTTAATTTTTTTTTTTTTTTGAGACAGGGTCTCACTATGTAGTTGAGACTGACCTGGATCTCACTATGTAGCCCAGGCTGGTCTCGAACTCACAGCGATCCTCCTGCCTCAGCCTCCCGAGTGCTGGGATTACAGGTGTGCGCCACCACCACTCCCAGCCTTCATTCCTTTACTTGAGCTCAGAGGGGATTGAGGGGAAGAGCTGGAGATATATTGGTCATTTAATTTTTATTGTATGTTATTATTTGTGGCTTGCAAAATCTCTAATTTTTATAAAATTAAAGGAGCTTTTCTTACGTAGCTCTTGGTAAAATTTTTGTAAATGTTCAAGGATACAGGGAAAAACAGTATATTTTTTATTTGGTTGAGCTTTTGCTTTTATTTAAAGGTAGTGATATAGCTTATCATCATGCTTGTTTGTATACTGATATTTCCCATGTAGTTTAAGCTTCTTTTTCTGTTTGTTCTCCGAATTTGGGAAACATTTTTAAACCTTGAAATAAAAAGTTCATATTATTATTATTATTATTATTATTATTATTATTATTATTAGGGTTAGGGTTTGTCTTTTCGTGGCCATGGTAACTGTGAGCTCTTCCAACATGGTGCTTCCACGGTGGTCAGTGCACTGTAATTTACTCAATTCTACCACTAAGCTACACCTTCTGCCCTTTTATTTTGAGTCAGGGTCTTGCTAAATTACCTTGGTAGTATTTGAACTTGCAATCCTCCTGCCTCAGCCTCTTTCAATGCTGGGATTATAGGCATGTGTTGCTGTGCCCAAGCTATATTCAGTAATTCTTACATTTTGATATTTAGGTCCTTTCTAATTTCATTGTATTATATATAGTGCTGTAATAAGCACTTTTATATACAATGTTTCCTCATGTTATTTCCTAATTTAAATTTTCAGGGATGATGAAAGAAAACAGGTGTTTTTCTGTGTTGCTTTCTAAAAAGGTCGTACCATTTATAAGGCACCATGTTTATGTAATGACCAATTTGATTATCTATTCACCAGTACAGGTTATTACAATTCAATAAAAGTTTGGTAATCAAAGAGGAGTAAAATACTAACTGCAGTTTATTTTGACTTGTCACTTTGAGGAACTAAAGGATGGTTATTTCATATCTCATTGTATCTAAAAGCAGAATTTCAAACATAGCTTAAGGCCAGTGTGCTAAGGCATAACTTGAAAATTTAAGGCTTTAGAACTTAAACAAGGTTTTGCTTTTGTCTTTTTTTTCCATGCTGGGGATGGGACCCAGGGGCCCATGCATATTAGGCATGTGCTCCATCACTGAGCTATATCTCAATCCTAGCATTGATCATTTCATTACATTCTTCTTAATTTTTTTTTTTTGATACAGTGTCTCACTATATAGTTGAGACTGCCCTGGAACTCACTGTGTAGCCCAGGATGGTCTCAAACTCACAGTGATCCTCCTGCTCAGCCTCCCGAGTGCTGGGATTACAGGCAAATGCCACCACGCCCAGCTCCATTTTGTTAAATTCTTCAAAATACACACATATAT